CTATTGGAAATGTCGTTTTCCCCGTTGTAGTTGTCTACAAGCTTCTCCAGCTCAGCGGCAGTCAAAATGTCTTTGTTGATAGCCAGAAAGCGCCTGACTATTTCTATTGTTGATTCTTCCTGCGTGTTTGTGTCCAGCTTTCCCGCATCCGATATGTAGAGAGTGGGCCATCCTTCGGCATACGCTCTTGCTGCGAGAAAATAGGAGAGGTACGACTTGCCAACGCCCATCGGACCGGACAGGACCCGTCTGTATGTACGATCCTTTTCACCGCAAATGTCCTTCCAAAGCTCCAGCATTTGTTCCGTAACGAAAAATTTTTGACCTGGGCTATGACGTCCAAATTCCTTGGGGGTTTGGCCCAGACTTGGAATATCGATTGCGTCGCCAGCTTGAAGATCGCTCTTGAGGTGATCGAATGCCTTGCGCGGTTCGGGCTCAAAATTCGCGCTTTGAAGAAACTCAATCCAAGAGAGAGGCAAATCTACTGACTTTCCGTCGGAAGCCTTATATGGCTTCCAGCCTTCGATAATACGGACTCTCTTGTTCTTCGGCATAAACTTTAGGTCTATATATCATATATTTTTTACACGGGTTAAACATTGCATCAAGGCGACAAATGTCATAAGTAACGTCAGCTGTGTTCATGACTGAGTAAAAGACAAGAGGTGGTTAGAAAAGATCAATAATACTCACCCGCATTCTCTTCACGGTCTCTTTTAGGAGCTATCGGAAGAAAAAAAAAAGAATAACGTAACGTAAATAACACGCGCCAGAATATCAATCATCACTCTGCAGAGAGCTGGAGACATACCTGGCGGGGGTGGTCGTTGCACGATGATGTTGATGGTCTTCCTTGGTACACCTTCCTTGAACACCTCGGAAAGGTCCATTGCTGGGCCGAGCTCCTCCTTGGAGTCAAGGGAATCAAAGATGACTGGCTCGCGCATTTCGGCAGCAACAATGGGAATCGAGACGCGCCAGATGGCAAGCTCATCTGCTGCGAGATCGTCAAATTTTGGCGTTTTCTTGGTCTTGATGAGCTCTTTGAGGTCACTGACGTCTGCATCTCTGTCTGGCTTGACTTTGAACGCGTTGGCTGTGGACTCGCCGTCGACGACACAGAAGAGGGTGAGTGCGTTTGCCGCCATGGATGAGAGGGGCGTTATCTGGGATGGAATGGGATGTGAGGCGCGGGAAGCCGTTGATGGGTGTGGGTTGTCTGGAAGGCAATGAACAAGAGCGTTGTGAGAATGGAGCAAAACGCGTTTTGATGAATTTGCCTCGATGACATGACTCACAGTCGAAACTCGTTTTTATCGCGCGCAAACCTGCAATAAAACCTTAACTGGGGATTGAATTGGACCGAGCTATTCTAAAGCTGAAAAATACAGTCACATATTCAGTCACATGCTCTGCCTCAACCATACCTCCTCACGTCTCATGTTGCATTCTACATACCTCAACACCATGATTACAACCTCTCCCCTAAAACGACAGTACGAGTCGCTCTCGACCCATGCAGCGGCGACAAGCAAAAAACAAAAACCAACTCCTCAACACCTTCCTGCCAAGAATCGCAAAAAATACACCAAGCACGAACTTGAGGATGCCGAGCATATTCGTCAAGCACAATACAACATGCTTTTGTATTATGCCAGGCGTAGATATGAATGTGCTCATTCTGTTTCCTGACGCCGAGCAGTTCAAGATCCCAATGGCCAGAGTCTCTTACACCCTGGAGCAGCAAGTCGAACTACTGGACATATATCATTATCTTCATGATCGGAAGGAAAACCTCCCGATCAAGCTTTCCCACAGCTCTTTTGGGCGCATGATAGGAGTCAATCTTCCGAGATGTACCCTTGAATGCATGCTCAAACGAGAAGACAAATTACGCGCTGCAGTCAAGACGCACCCCCCGGACGCTCATTACATCGTCGAAGACAAGAGCGTAATGATTGAGGAGGTCCTCTATCGGTGGCTACAAGATCAGCGGAGACAGAATGTCCCTGTCAACGGCAAGATGATCAAGAAAACATGTACGATTCTAGTCGATCTTCAGGACAATTCAGGCGATACCGTGTCTGAGGCACCACTATCATTTTCAGCCTCGTGGTTTAATCACTTCAAGAAACGCCATGGGATAACCTATTGCCAGCTTCATGGAGAAGCAGGATCGGTCGATCTGGAGGCGATTGAATCGGAGCTTACCGACATCCGTCAGCTTTGCGCCCAGTACACTCCGGACAACATATTCAACTGCGACGAGACCGGCTTTTACTTACAGGAGCTAGACGACAAGTCTTACACAACTCGAGGATCAAAGTCAGGCGCCAAGGCCAACAGGAGCTGCAGGGTCTCCATCCTATTCTGCATTAATGCTTCTGGTTCCTCTCTCGCCATGGCAAACACCAAGGATTCGTTGAAGCCGTTGGTCATCGGTAATACGTTTAATGAATGATTTGTGTTGCAATCATCTCTTATTTATTCGTGTTTTTTATTTCCATTCTTGGCCTTTACGACTCTGTGATGCTCTTTACTTTAGGCACAAGCATTCCAAATGATATTGAGAAAGATTCGGCGAAAAGGATGCTCATGAAAAAAACAAACTCGGGATGAATGAACAGGGCCCTATTCGTAGGGTGGCTACAAATGCTTGATGACGATCTTTCGGAGCCAACTCTTCTCCTTCTTGACTCTGCAGGTGCGCACAACAACATCGACATGCGTGATCCACGAGCTAACACGCCTTGGAAGCATCTTCACATACGACGGCTCCCGACAAACACCACATCAGTAAGGCAACCTCTCGACGCAGGGGTGATTAGTGTTTTCAAACGAGCTTTCCTGGAGATGCTCAGCTATGAAACCTATCTCGTTCGCAACTACGAAAAGAAGAAATGTATCTCAAACGAACTCGCTTGGACATTGATCCCCTATGCATGGAGTCGAATGAAGTCTCTAACGCTGCGAAACTGCTTCGCCAAGACGCCAATTCTTCCGACGGAAATGTGCGAGCAGCCCCGACGACGACGGCCAATCCATGCTGAACAGCAACATCCACTTCATTACTCCCGGCACGACCAATACGAAGAGCAGGAGAAGGTATACTTCGAGCATCTGATCGCCGAGACTACTATGGAGAACAATTGGAATTTCCGAGTAGTAGGAAACAAGGACGTGCAGGAGCTGGCTGAGGAAGTGCAGCAGCTGGTGAATGCAGATGAAGGAGAAAGCGTCCAGTCTGAAGAAGTTAGTCATGACGGATACTCAAGCTCACCGATCGCAGACGAGGAATGGGACATAGCCGCTCGAACGCTGGAAGATCTGGCCGGAGACCTTGTAAGCATCGAAGGCCTCAAGCAAATGAGACAGAGAGCGAAGCAGAGGTCTAAGAATACAGTGGATATTCGACGGTCAGTGAAGCAACTGGTGTGTGCTTTGAGAGATGGATGAGAATAAAAAAGGATTCTGCATCAACAGCAGAGCATGTGACTGAATATGTGGCTGTATTTTTCAGCTTTAGAATAGCTCGTTCAGAGAGATTCAATTCAATCCCCAGTTAAGGTTTTATTGCAGGTTTGCGCGCGGAAAATGCGATAAAAACGAGTTTCGACTGTACTATTCTCCAAAGCTCCGAACTTTCCCTTGTTCCGAGCTTCTGCCGCTGTTCTCGACTGAGGATAAAGCTATGGATACTCTGCAATGTGCCAGGGCTAACGCTGGCCGTTAACACACGAACGCAGCTATGACGCTGTTTGCAGATGCCGACGGTTTCATGGACGATGTTCAACACTGTATTCTTTTGACCAACACCATGACATGACCTGTATCTGTGCTTTGATAAATTACTTCAAGCTGTCCAAGCCTTGGTCGCTCTCCCGGTTATGCTTGGGATAGTTACAGTTCGATGGGTGTCAGAATTCAAGAGTATTGCTGGCCAGATGCATAGGCGCCCTGACTCTAATTTCCAACGGACTATGGAATGGTCGAGGACGAATGCCATTGTTTGGAAGTCTAATTAAATCCATAGCGAGCTCGAACAGTCACCCATGTCCACATCAACCGAACCCATTCCTCTCTCCTTTTTTCTTCATTCATTCCATAACACTTGTCAAGAACAGGAATCCGCCATGTCCGCCGCGACCTCATCCGCCCCTCGCGCACTCTCTCAGGCCGAGCTCCAAGCTGAACAGGCCAGGGACGATGGTGACTTTGTCGGGATCCTCTACGACACTATCCTCTACGAACGCGCCTGCAACCGCCTCGAGACCCAAAAAAAATACGACTTCCCTCTCAAGTATGATGAAATCGCCTACGACTTCCTCGCGGCCTACCGTCTCTGTCTCGAGCCCAAGTTTCTCGCCAACCGCCACACTGCCGTCTTCTCACACTTCATCCTCCAATCTAAGCTTTTGAACGCCAAGGGTGTACGGACCTGGGCCCTGGATCATTGGGGCCGCTACGAGATCTTTCCCTTGGACGATGAATCCCAATTGATGGATGGTGCGGGTATCGATGAGCTGAACGAGAACGATTTTAGTGATTATGACGAGGTCGAGCAGGGATTGAGCCCCGTTCGGAAGAATGTTGGGTATGAGGGTCCTATGCTTACACGTCGTCGACAGGGACACTATGGTGGACCAGTTGCGGATGGACAAGCACATCGGGAGATGTTCTCGTTGGGTTATTCGGCCGTGTACAAACATTCGCAGGATATGATCGCGGTAATCATTGCGCACCTTCGAAAGCGCGTTTGGTATCATGATGGTTCGGGAGGCGACGTTGTCGAGATTCAAAACATGGGTGTCGACGGCAAGGACTTCAGGAGGGGCAATCGCAATGTTAACGGCGATCTCGATGCAAGAGTAGACCAGGCGATCAAGGACGTCAAAGGCGTCAAGAAGTACACTCGCCAATTTAACGGCAAGATCAAGCGACGGAACCATGAGAGGGCCTTGGCCAGGACCGTGAACGGCGCCCCAGGGTTCTGGCAAGGGGTAGTGCAGAATCGAGACCCACCAACGGATTATTCGGACTCTGAAGCTGAGGATGCAGGAGGCTCCGAGGCGCAGGGAGTCGATACGGCGATCGATAAGATGGCAGCGATGTATCTAACAGAGTACACAGGGAGCCCTAGGAGGATCATCCGCTTTTTACCTGCTTCCAGGTCGAGCGAGACCTTGTACGACTGGAGAGGAGCAAATGACGAACTGCGCCTAGTGGATTTGGCACCTGAGGAAGAAGACACCATCTTCTATGGTCGCTTGACCCGAGATATTATGGCGAAGTATAAGGTGAGCTGAGAACGTCTAAAAAACGAGGAGGAGACATGAACAATACATCATCGTACTAAACAGCTTTCATTGGTTTGGGTCCCTAGCAACTGCTTCCACCGACTGGACTGATTGAGAGGCACAAGGAATTAAGAGAGTCGCTCCAGAACATCATTTCGGGCGCTTTTCCAGCCGAGGACTTCGAGGTCGAGGCATACGGGTAACTGTTTGCCTCGGTCTTCCTATAGCCATACTAATGCTTGCATTTCTATATATTGACTGACCTGGAACGATGTTGTCAATATCCGTAGATCGTTCGTGAGTGGACTATTAATGGCAAATAGCGATGCCGATTTCTGTATCACAGGCCCCAATATCCACAGCCATGAACAGCTCAACAACATGTCCAATATAGCCAACATTCTCTCCACCCGTGGCCAGATGAAAAACGTTGTTGCGATCCCTGACGCCATGGTCCCGATTGTCAAGTTCCAGGATCCGAAAACCAACATGGAGTGTGACCTTAATACAGGCAACAATCTCGGCGTCGTTAATTCGGAGTTGATCCGGGTTTACACCACGATCGATGAACGCGTCAAGCCGTTCCTGTACATATTAAAAGCTATCTGCAAGGCGCAAGGAATCAACGACTCTAGGAGTGGATACCTCAGCAGCTATGCGATCACCTGGATGGGTATCGTCTTTTTGCAGCAGTCTAGTCTGTCGACGCCCTCGGGCACAGCCTGGGGATGGGGATCGAGCCCTTTGCTGCCGAAACTGCAGCAGCAGCCATTTGAGCGGATGAAGGAACTCACGTTACGGATCAACCACAACACCAAGAACATTACGACAAGCACCCCAAGTCTTGTGAACTCGAGCAAGAATGATATGGTCCACTGCCGATTCGATGATAATAGCGATGGCAAGCACACGGGATCGGGTCGCGCGAATAAGAAGTCGCTTGGGAGGTTACTGATCGAGTTCTTTGAGTTCTTTTCGCGCCGTTTCAATTATACGGAAACGACAATCCATGTGGGCAGGGGCGGGATGCTGCCAAAGACAAGCAAGGAACGGCATAATGAGAGCCTTCGGTTACCGACGTTCAGGGTCGTGGATCCATTCTTGCACCATCGCAACATTACGGGGACGTGCCGTGGCGAGACCTTGGGCAGGGTGTGGAGAGCATTTGATCATTCGTATCGCATGTTGTGCGCCGGCGATTTGGAGGGCGCCATGAGGCAGGTGGACTAGGTGTGTAGCAAGCGTGAAATAGATAAAGCACTTGCGCATATAGATATATTTAAAGAAAAGCGTTTATTATGATAAGCATGTACAAAGGCATCGAGCGAGAATGAAAGGGAAAAGGGGGGAGGGAAAAGTACAAGGGATTATGAAAATCAGAGAACCCGGAATATTCTCACGCGTTTCATCTCATCATCGATCCTGAAGTGGTCATTAAAGAAAAGGAAAAACCATTTAACGAAGCTCGTGGTCGATCTTGTCGGTGGCCTCGTTGGCGGCCTGGCGAGCGTTCTTGTTGACATGACGAGCAGTGTCCTTAGCATCCCTCTTTGCGTGCTCAGCAGCATCCTTGAGCTCGTTCTTGGCGTGCTTGGCGGCGTCGTTGACGTCCCTGCCGATCTTGCGGGCGTGGTCGGCAGCGGGGCCCTGGGCGTTCTTGATCCAAACGTCATAGTTGAGGGCGGTTGCGTATCCGAGCCAAGCAACGTAGGGAAGGGTCAAGTAACCGGCCATCTTGTCAACCTTGAAGAAGTAGTAGGAAATAGCAATCGAGGAGGCCTATTGTTGCATGACGGGAGAGGATAAAGGATAGAAGCGGATGTTAATAATGAGTAGCTGTTGCGTGCACGAATGTGAGAAGACGGAACTGCGTGGTATAGAAAGGGCGATTCCCAAGGGCCCTGACTTTTGACGTGGGGTTGTGCAATGTATTGCCATGGGCTCACATAGGGAAAGGTTGCCCTCGATGAATATCACATCCAACTTTATGCGCAAAATGCCGTAAAAAGCGAAACTTGGATCCTTGAAGCCCCCGTGATAGTCGCTACTGCCTCTTCTCACTCCTGTCCAAGCATTGATATGGGGCCTCATGAAGTCCATAAAGCCGCCTTTTCCTTTTGATTTTCCATGAATCGACTCGACCCATATCATATCATATCATGTACCGTGGGATAAACGGGACAAATAATTCAAAAAGAAGCACTTACAGTCAAACCACCGGCAGTAACAAGGGCGGCACCGATCTTCTTCTTCCAGAACATCAAAGGAGACCAAGCAAAGTTGAGGAGCATGTTGATGCCATAGATACCCAATCCAGTCTGAGCCAAGCTACGAGTCAAGGGAAGAGTATTGGGTCCGGTGCGGAGGGCAACCAGATGGGATGCATATCCGACCGAGAGATACAATGCCGTCCATGCGGGCGCAAAGACCGACGAAGGGGGTGCCCACTCAGGCTTTCTCAAAGAGTCATAGTATCCCTGCACATGACGATGTGCGGGCACTGCAGAAAGGAAACCGCCGACGAGGGGAAGACCGACGGCCAAGACTGGATAGCGAGCCAGGTTAGTGTTGATAAGGCTCTGAGAAGCCTGGTAGTAGCTGTCCATGTTGATGTGAAGTAGTGGGTATGTGTGAAAGTGAAGAAGGGGGAGCTGAAAAGAAGGAAAGAGATGATGTAGAAGTAGAAAAGGGGAATAAGAAGAAGAGGGAAAAGAAGGGGTACAGCGCTGTCTTTTATACCATTCATCGTGTGTGGGATCGGTCATGCCTCCCATCATTTACTATGCTGTGGTTGGACACCTCGGATCCCCCAACCTATTCTTCTACCTGGCGATATCTGAACGCGGATCCACTGGGTGTCATACCCCAATGCATCGTCATCATATCATATTTGTCTCATATACAAAGCTGTATCTGGAAGCGAGATATCATGGAGAAGACAGGGTACAGGCAGAGTATGGAGAATCATCTTTGGGTGGGCATCATATATGTCATAATGCAAAGCGCATAGGAAATGAAAAAGAATAGAAATAGGGTTTGTCGCGCTATGTCATTGTCGCGTCAGTGCGAAACGGCACATTATTGGTCAATTGATCGCAAATAACGCGCGCGAGGAGAAAAAATACTTTGGTGCGTTTGAGTCTTTAAGGGTCACTCTGGAACCGAATTGTAAACAACTTTTCTTTTTTTTTTTCCCCTTCTTCAACCCTGCCTTTCTGCTCCCTCTTCTTCGTTCTTCTTCTTCCCCCAACACTCGTCTTTGTCCACTCTGAACACCAACCTGTAAGTACCAACCAACCACTCTCCTCAATCATCAATTGATTGCCATCTGGATCCAACAACTACTCTTTTCGAGCACTGTGCAGAGGAGGAGGATTTGTCAGATATGATGCTTATACATTTCGTGGGAATCTCTCGGAAATCGAATGAACGACAACTTAATCGAATGTCCTGATCTTACATGCCCTTCCTCTCTCTTCACGCACGGAGACAGCCTTATTGTGCTCAATGCTCCACTGTTGTATTCACCAAGGAAAGGATCGCGAGATCCGATTGAGTTGCTTGATCAAGTTACCAATCAACTTTTTCACTCGGTCGCATCTAGATATTTTTTTGCTCGCTCGGAATTTGCAGGATTTGCAGGACATTTGATAGGATAAAGGTGCGTCTACTTGTCCCCAACTTTCCGAACCAAAGGATACTCTACTCCCAACGTCCAATTGCGTTCAATTGCGTTCAATTGCTATTTATTTATTTTTTCATGGGAAGGGAACAGGCAATGATGATACAACCCATGCACCACTCTCAACCAAAAGCGTGTGGATAACCATTACCAATTTATATGAGCCTATCAACCCCCTTCACAAACACTTGTTTTGTGGTTTTGAGACCGAGAGAGTATTTTGCAGGCATGCTAATGTTCTCTTTTTTGTGATCTTGTTTTCTGTAGGTTTGTTTAACGCAAGTCTGGATTTGATAACCATTATGTGTAGTGCAACATGAACAATAAAATGAAAATAAAATCGCCTTTGCAAGTATCCAGTTGACTCAATTGACCTATGAATGTATATTCCGTAGACGGAGGGCGCGAGAAAGAGATCTTGGTCGCTCGCTCGTCTTTTATTTTTTTTTATTTTTTATTGACGTCAGATCCTCCAGACGTGCAGGCGTGCCACAGGCTGCTCTTTTTTTTTTTTTTTTTTTTTTTTGACACCAGAGCTTCCTGAAGTTATCTATTTGACAACCCGGGTTGCCATGCATTATTTGCCAACCCCCCCTAATTGACTGCTACTACGAGACTTATTTTGGCCCGCCTGCTGAATCCACATACACTGCAGCGGCGATTGAGGCAGCGGTCAGGTCGGCTCTACTCAGTATAGCTGGATCCATGCTACGAGGATGTGGGTAGGCTAATGTAATGACTCCTCAGCGGGGGTAAAGGAGGAGGAGGAGGAGTAGTGGGGCAGTGAGGAGGAATGGCAAGAGCAAGCAGATGTGGGTTAGTGCAATTAGAGGGGGCTGGCAAACAATGCATGGCAACCCGGGTTGTCAAATAGATAACTTCGAGCTTCCTTGGCAGCAGAAAGATCATGTGATTTGAGCGAGCAACATAAATTTTGGCTGGTCGCTCACTCAAGCGAGTCGCTCGTTTACACGAAGCAGTACGGAGCAAGCAAACACCATACAGAAGCAGGACACCATGGTCAACTACAAAGGAACACGGTCAAAAGGATTCGCCTCTCTCCTCGTAGTATTATGTCTGTTTGCACTTGTTCAGGTACAGAACGACGCCTCGATGCGGCTTCATCAAAACTAATGACAATATGAACAGCGGATGTCATGAAGCAAACGACAAAGAACCTCGACATTAATCAACGCGATGTCCGCCTTTTTTGGTGCTCTTTATCTCATGCAACAGGTCGCGCTGGCAGCAAACCCGATTAGTTTTTGCAAATGCATCTGCGGACAAGAAAAGACGATCACAGCCCTGCCAAGAGATACACAACATCCGATTTTCGGAGGATCGTCCAAAGCCTGTCTAGCATGCACAAAGCAATACTGTCTGGATAATAAGCCTGATATGTGCAAGGGAGTCGGAACAGGAGAGGGCGACGAATTGATCACGACTTGTTTCGGTAAGGTGGGGAGCGTCGACAGTAGTAGTAGCAGCAGCAGCAGCAGCAGGCGTGTGCACTTCTATGCGACATTGAATGACAGCGATGCAAAATTGTGCGCAATGGACAACTGATGGATACGACCTGTTTTGATTCATAATAGAACGTGATTCGTACAAAGACCAGTTTATCGTGTATCTGTTCTTGACGATAACATTCGGTCTCTTGGGGTTTGCAACTCTGCAGCCCTTCCTCAAGGGTCTCTGGCAGGTATGTTTCAATTGCATTATGAACACGTCCGGCGCACTGCTGCTCTAGTAACGTTGAACTAGCTACTAATCCTCACATCCTCAATTTCTTTCATCTTTCATCTACAGCGCCGGCAGCAGCACGCCTATACATCAATGCCCATGTAGAATCATCCATATAACACAACATATCCTTCCAAACAGACTCCGCGGACATTTCTAATGTGAACCAACTCAATAAACATCATGTACAGTATACGCTTGATAATGTGAAGAAAATTTCTTGGGGCATGCTGGATAATGCGAAGCAAGCTGTGAAGACATGTCTCGCTGTGCGGAGCAAATTATCCATGCCACAATAATATATACACAGAGGGAGAGTCTACAGTGCTTTTCTTCATTTTCATTATTTTTTTCTACTCTGAAGCTTTCCTTGGTGCCGCAAACTTTTCTTTAATCTTCTCAGTCACCATCCTGTTCAACGGTGCCGCGCTCTCTGCACTCTCACCCGGTGCCCTATCCCGCTCCGCCATCTTGATCAAGTACCCATTCATGTACTCAATCTCACACTGTCGCGATCCCTTCAAATAATCCTGCAATGTCGAACACCGGTTCTGTCGAGTTGCCCTCAAAATCCCCTCGGTCGTGCTTGTCAACGCCTCGAGCGTCAAAAACTCTTGCCGAAGGTTCTCATTCAGAGCTCTGTATTCTAGTGAATGGCGCAGGATCGAGTGCGACTCCTTCAGCAGATCCTTTACGGCTGGGTGAGCATTATCGGATGAATCCAGTAAGGCGCCGTTGGTCGCTTCCAATAGCGTCGCCACGGGGTTCACACAGGCATTGACGACGAGTTTTGAGAGCTGAAGGGCGAGCAGATGGTCGGGCATCAGGAGGCGAAGGTTCAGGGCAGCAGAGAGCTCTTGGAAGGTTGAGAGGGTCTCGTAGAGAGATCGGGTCCTGAGATCTTGAAGTTCTTGTACTGATGAAGGCGCAGTATAGAATGAGGAGAAAGGTGCGTTGGTGTAGGGTGCGATGAACGATGCAGGACTCCTGTATGGATACGGCGCTGTGAGGATTTCTTTCTTCGGCATTACAAGTTTCGGAAGCAGGGACGTATCCGAGGGTTTCAGAATTCTGCTGATCGGGACTGGCGTCGAGCCCGTTTGAGATATAGATGAGAGCTGAGAGGACTCGACTACCGGGGCCAGCCAGACATGTCCGGTTCCTGTATGTACGATCGTATCACCCGTCTTTTGGGCTCCATGCGAGATGATCCCCTGGACAAAGTTTGGTGTCTCCTCTTCGGTTGTCCAGCCCATGGACTCGCAGATCTCTTCCCGAACACCCATCCCGTTTTGCATCAAGACAATGGTTGTCCAGGGCCGGAGACGGTGTCTGATCTTAGATATGGCTTCGACGGTCTGATAGGTCTTTGTTGTGACAAGGAGCTGGTGGATCGGGGACCGAGAGAGTTCGTTGTAGACGGGGTCGTGGCGGAAGAGTTCCTTGTCGATGATGGGATAGAGGGGTTCCCAGTCGAGTCCGTCGATCACTTGGGGCTCTACAGAGGTGGTTTCGAGGGAGGTGAGGTTCATGTACTTGAGGGTTGTTGGAGGGTAGTTCTGGCGGGTATGGTCGGTGTTCTTGGCTGTGGTGTAGCTGTCCTTGTCGATTTTATCATAATATGGGGCTGCGGGCGGAGGCGCCCGACGCTGGAAGAAAGTGAAGGGGATGTGGTTCTGATAAAAGTAGAATGCGAAGAGCGATCCTATTCCACCGGGCCCGAGGATGTGGAACCGGGGGTTCATGGGCCGTAATGGCACGTTGGTCATGGTTGTGAAGGATGTGTGAGTAGCAAGCAATGCAAGGTGTTCCTGATCAGGTTCAGGTACCGAGCTGTCCGAGCAGACTTTTAAAGACACCAAAAGGTGACTGGACAATCGATTAAAAAAAAAACTGCGTTCAAAGTTCAGTCGAGTTATATTCAGTCGTCGTCTCCAGTCTGGAAACCTTTGGCGCTAAGCATATGCGAACGATGAAGTCAATGGAGATGCTACTAGCCCATGGTCTTCATCACGTCAGCTGTCGACGTCTTTTCAAAAGAATAGGGTTGGTGTGAGGTGCAGGACTGAAGTGAAGGCTCTTTTTGGAAAAGTTTTAGCGCAGGGTCCACGTAGCGTAAGGTGCCACGTCTCACTCGAGAGATGAAAATGGTCGATGCCCAAAGAAGGCCTTTCTTTCTTATTTCAGCCCCCATTACACCATGTTCCTTCGAAACGCACTCTCCGCCGTGCTGACCATCGCAGCATGTGCATCTTTCTACGGGGTCGAGGCATCTGAGGCATCCAAAAGTCTAACGGGATCCGACTTTGCATCAGCCATTGCCAAAGGCACCACGTAAAGCATCGCTTCGTCTCGAACTACCGCTATATTCCATGAGTTGCATCCTAGAGAAAGTACTGACGTACCTCCTCACTCTTATTCTATCTAGCTTCGTCAAGTTTTACTCGCCACAATGTCCCCATTGTCAAGTGCTTGGTACGGATTGCTGCATGTCCTGGTATGGTCGATTGGTACCGAGGCATATTGTCGGCTAGGGGTCCTGATCTTCTATTCTTTTGCACTTTATCGCTTAGCACCAACATGGGAGCAACTCGCAGTTGATCACCTAGGATTGGCACAAACAAAGAACTTCAAGTTTGCTGAAGTCAATTGTCTCATCGAAGGCGATGTCTGTGAGGACAACGATGTTAGAGGATACCCCTCTTTGCAGTTGTAAGCATCGATCAGTCGAGTGAGATGATAAAGTCGACTTGGTTTCGGAATACCTCCGATCACAATATCCAATACTAACCCTCTTGCTTCATTTTATTATAGATTCAAGGATGGAAAGAATGTCCAGGTTTACAAAGGTAGCAGATCTATCGAGGAGCTGGGCGACTTTGTGGAGACCAAGGCTGACGAATACTACAGCAAAAATCAGAACGTCCGCAGCGATATCAACTCTGATATCAACCCGCTTGGACAGGTCATTGTGCTGGACTCCAAGAACTACGAGTCCTCTTTGAAGGACGGTCAGCCTTGGTTGGTCGAGTATTACGCTCCTTGGTGCGGTCATTGCAAGGCGCTTGCTCCTGTCTACGAAGAGCTGGCCATGGCCTTGAAGGGTAAAGTCAACGTAGCCAAGGTCGATTGCCCAGCTAACGAGGTTATCTGCCGGTCACAGAAGGTCCGCGGATACCCTACCATCAAGCTTCACCAACATGGCCAGGCCACCGACTTTAACAAGCAGCGCACACTTGAGTCGCTGTCCGCATTCGCACTTGGTGCCACTGAGTAGGTTGGCAGGAAATGACCGCTTTTGACGGGAAAATATCAACATCATACTGACCCTTATTATTACTATTACTGCTGGAAATGCTATACATATACAGGCCTTCGATTAAACCCATCGACCTTGGAGATCTGCAGGATATTAAGAGCAGCCCTGATGTTGCATTCATCTACCTGTACGACGACAACACGAGCAAAGACATTACCAGCGTCATTGAGAAGCAATCCCAGATCTTTTACGAGCAGGTCGCCATCCACTCTGCTGCAGACCCTGTCATTGCCCGCCAGCTCTCGGTTACAAAGGTTCCCGCATTGGCTGTACTGAAAGACGAGCGCCAGTATGAGTTCTCGGGTTCGCTCTCAGATGCACGTGCTGTCCAATCGTGGATCGAGTTGGTCAGGTCACCCCTGGTGCCACTTGTGACGAGCTCGAACACTGCCGCGGTGTTGAACTCTCCCGGATGGGTGGTTCTGGGAATCTTTGATCCATCAAAGCCTTCAACGGCTGCTGCGCGTCGTGCCTTGATCGAGACTGCGCACGCATACAAGAAGCAATTGAGCAGTGGCGAGCGTTCGTTGTTGGATGGAAGACCTGTGCGGTTCGCGATGTTGGACGCGACAAAGTGGACGAACTATATTAGGAACGCGCTGAACATCGAGCTGTTGAACCTGCCAGTGTTTGTTGCGGTCAACAGCCAGAACGAAGTGTTTTATCCACATGGAACGGATGGCCGTCGTGTGCCGCTTGATGAGGTGGCGTTGCTGCAGTACGTTGCAGACATGGAGGCGGGCAGGTTGGAGGAGCAATCAATGTTGTCGTATGTGCAAAAGACGTTCAGACGAGTCACTGAAAGGGTCTCGTCTGTTTTTGGATTCGTGGGCGACCATCCATATGTGACGATGATTCTGGGAACGGCCCTAATGTATGGCATTATCCGCAAGATTGGAGGCAGTGGATCCGAGTCGCGCCCTGAAGGTCTCGCCAAGGCGGACTGAGGCGGTTCGTTTGGAACCGTATAGCAGTATTCCGACGTCAGGAAATAAATACAGCGCTTTATCTTTTTCATTGACGATCTAATCGTCGAGCCCATGAAAGAAGCGTTTCGCTTTCATCCAGCAGTGTTCCTTCTTGCTCCACAATGTCTTCAAGTGAGATTTCACCGTACATAGGGGTCAAAAGCCGAATACGCAAAGGATGGTCATACCAAGCCATCTTTACCGGCCACTCTTCATTGAGAACTCAGTGTTGGATACGTGCTGCGCTCGTTTGCAGCCGATTCATGCGCTGTCTAATCCTTCCGTGCGGACCTATTCTTGCATGACCAAATTGTCCTCGGAAATTTTGCATAACCAGCTTCTCATGGCAAAGAGGACAAGGCAAGGGGGAGCGGGAGGAGGGGGGAGGGGGGTGCATCGGTCTGAGTAGGAATCGCAGAGGATCGCCTTTACACAGTTGTTGAGTGGAGAGGTGTAATAGGTTGATGGTGCTACGTGGATGTGATTTTGCAAGGCAAGCTTAAATTGCTTACTGGAAAAGCCTTTGCTCTCGCCTTGGGCTCTCCTGGACTGCCAAGATGGGCACCGCTGGCTATACCGAGGGCCCTTATATTCTTCTTCAGCTCCTTTCCGTCTTTGTCTCCCCTTCTCTCATACTCATCATTCTTTATTCTTCATTCTTCATTCACTCTCCCTCTCCCATAAACACATACACTCATCACTCTTCTCATTGCATACAACAGACTCCAGCAAAGCTTGCTAAAACTACCCCTATCCGCCGCAGCCATGGCCGACCCACAACTGAGCCCTTGCAAGGTCAGCTACAGCGGTGCCTTCCGTCGCTTCCTCATAGCCCGGCCAGCAGTCTGGAGAGACTTTGAGCAGAAGGTAAGAACTCAGCCGCCGATCAGCATCACTGAACTCCACTCTATCCCATCGAACGTCCCTTCGTTCCATCTTTCGCCTTCGCCAACTGTTCCCCCCGTTCGAATTATTGGGGGTGTGTGACAGCCCAATTTCAATTTTCTTGGCGTTTTTTGCCATGCAATGCAGCTTTCCACATATGTCAGGTCTCTCAAACAAAAAGGGAGGGAGCTCGCTTGAGTTTGCTACAGCCCAAAAAGTTTTTTTACAAGGGGGAAGGGGTGCAAGCAACCACCACTATACTGCTAGTTGCAGCTGTCCCAGCGTGTGGTGCATCCATCGGTCTTATGACAGGACATTGATCCATCCGTCCTGTTTCCACATCCACATATCAAGAACTCGCTGGGCTAACAATACATTCGGGTAATATCGTACACCAATTAGATCCGCACTGTCTTCAATGTCCCCGACAATGCAGCCTTGGATGTCCAGTACAAGGACGAAGAAGGGGATGTGATCACCCTCAACACTGACAGCGAGCTGGACGACGTTCTGGCGATGCACACCCTCTTCAGTCAGTCGGCGCCCGTCAGGTTCGAGGTCATTGTTCGAGAAGACCAGCGGCAGCAGCAGCGGGAACCGCCTCAGGAGCAAGAGTCACAGCAGACGCAGCCGCTCTCTCACTCAATTACCTCCTCCTCTGCAAACATTTCTACAAGTGCTCCCTTGCACAGCATTGCTCCTGCCCTCACCTCCTGGCGACTCAACAACCATGACCAGACCTTCAACCAGCGTTTGGATCTCTCCTCGACCATCACCTCGGAAAGCGCCAACAGTGCTCTGAATCACCCTCACCGACATTCGAATAGCCCCTACAGCTCGGAACACAGTGACGATGTATCTCTGATTGAGCTGGATGACGATACCGAGTCCCGCATTAGCGACGAGCTTATGAGGGTCCATGGATTGGAGGTCATGGAAAAGACCATTGCTGATCTCTTGGAGGCTGCGAAACTGCGGGATAGATTGGAGGCGTACAAGCTGGATGCACCTGTCTTCGCGAGCTCTTTGCAGGGTAACACTCGCACCACGGTTGAGGATGAGAGTGATGGCGACGCAACGGCGCATGGCCTCAAGCAGCGTTCTAGCTGCAGCACGAGGGATGACCAGACCATCAAAACAACACCCCCGGGAGAAAGTACCGAGATGATGGAGCGCAAGGCCCATTATCCTACTGCGGGAGAGATTGCTGCGACAACCTTCTCCGGATTTGCAAGTCTTCATCTGGACCATGCCCCATTTGGCATGAACTCGAGCGTCGCTTCTACAACAGAGTCCCTTGTGCAAGGCACGACCGAAGAGTTCAAGGATGCCCAAGAAGAGGTTGAGATGCCTGCAGCCGATCCCATCGACGAGACCTTTCCCTCTGCGTCCAACGCATCGACGTCCACTAGCGAGCGACACCCCGATGTTGCCGAGCGTGCCCTCTTTGAACAGTTTCAGCAGCTGGTCAAAGAATTCCAAGACATTATCCAAAAGAACCCGCAGCTGGTTGCTCTTGCCGGAAACATCATGGACAAGGTGAGTGGTGAACACAAAACTATTTCTATGGTGACACAAGCGCGTACTTTTTATCGAGATGAATTCTGATCGATTCTCAAATTGGTGGCGACGATTATAGATTTTGAGCGATGTAAAGGTAAATGTCGAGTCGTTTGGAAGCTATCTCCAGACCCAGGCCCAGATTGCTGTGCAGACTGCACAAGAGGTCGCTGTCCAGGCGCAAGAGGCGGCCGTTCAAGCCGCTGTTCAGGCCCAGGAGACTGTCGCCAAGGCTACGATCCAAACACAGGAGACTGCTACCAAGGTTCAAGAAGCCGCATCTAAGGCTAGGGCCAACCACTTTGGTGCAAACAGCCGTTATCAGAATCAACACCGTGCTGGACAACCCAGGGTCTGGCCGTTCGGTCCGCGTCGCAGCTTCCAAGGCCACGGCCACGTTAACAATGACCACTACAACCAAGGTCCTGCCGATTTCTATGACTCGTCCAGCTTTGCAGCTCCTGGTATGATCCCCACACCTTCCTTTGCCCTACCGCATATGCCGTCAGTGTCATCAATTCCACCAATGCCACCAATGCCACCAATGCCACCAATGCCGCCAATGCCACCAATGCCTGTCATGCCGCAGCCACAGTCACCACAAATGCCGAGGATGCCCTCCATGCCTTTGATGCCGTTTGGACCGTCATTCTTTCAAGCCAGTTCGTCGTCTGGTCTCGGCAGGAGCAACACTATCCACAGTACCCAGTCTTCGCCTTTTACCCGAGGATTCCCTTTCAACACTTCACCGCCAATGTGTAACAAGCCCTTTACGTTCAAGAGTGAGCGTCCCGTTCCCGGTGATACAGAGGCTAGCCAGGGACCATCGGGCTCTGTGAAGGATGGGAAAACAAAGGCAACGAGCTCAGAACTCTTTACATCAAATTCGAATGTTTCCGGCGATCAAGGATCTTCGTCCTCGACTTCAGCTTCAACGCCTGGCATGCCTGGATCGTTCCCCAGTCAGCCACAGATGTCCGAGGTCAAGCCGGGCTGGACCTGGACCCGTCTTCCTGACGAAGGACCGGAACACCACCAACCACCTTCGACGCGCGCCAAGTACGGTTGGGTCTGGAGCGATATTGGAGGAGAGAAGGCTGAGATTGAGGAGTCAGAGCCCACACCTCGCTACTCCTCACTGAAAGAAGCTGACACAGCGCCCGATTCTTTCCCAGGACGTTCTGCTTCTAGTTCTTATCTTGGTCTCGACCGATCTTCTGCCAATATCCGCGATGAGGCGAACAGCGAATCATCATCAACGACTGCTGCAGCTGGATCAGAAAGGTTGTCGCGTCGCAAGACGGTGCATGAGTTTGAAAAGGCTCGAGAGCAGCGGGATGTCAGCCATGTATCCAATTCGCGCCAAGCTGAGAAGGTGCGAATTCTGGAGGAAGCAACCAAGAACATCAATATGGTTCAGGAGGCCACGGAACAGCTTCGAAGGACAACGGAGAAGCGAAAGGCAGCGATAGAGCAGCAAAAGGCGCTGGCCAACATCAGGAGCGGTATGGTACAGCAGCGTGTCGAGCAGATGGCGGCCCATGCTCGTCCTATGAGCTATCACGGTTCCTCCAACTCGCAGTCTTCAGCCTTGGATAGCCAGCCGATGGGAGCAGGCAGCCTTGCTGATATTTGGCCAAACGCGAACAGCGGTACGACAACTAGCACCCCAGGCGACTTTCCACGCGCACCCGCTGTTACACGTATGAACGTGCAGACAGCGACCACTCCTGCGCCTGCGCCTGCGCCCACGCCTGTGCCCGTGCCTACACCAGCTCCAGTATCTGCACCAGTACGTGCTCCTGTTGCTGTCATGGATGTGGACCCATTTGCAGATCCGTTTGAGTTTGAGGAGGAGATGCTACTGTTGACGTCAATGGGTTTTGAGGACAATGCGGAGTTGCGGACGGTTGTGCGCGATTTCGGAGGCGAAATTGAAGCGATTGTTGAATTTGTAGTCTCGAACTAGGCAACTTGACCCGACTCGTGATTGCAAGACACACACACAGAGCTTTGTGGGATGCAATGGGCAGTCAGTCGAGCTGGGCTGATGGATGCGTGAACCCATGCCTTATGGCAGCCAGGGTCCGAGAATACAACGTACAGCAATATCAGTAGTTCAACAAGGCATATGATTTTCGTTGTTAGTACCATAGTCCACATCGCTAACCTTCACTAGTGAAGTTTGTAAAAAATAAAAAAATACCATCCGGGCAGTGTTGAGGATAATTTGGGCGCAGCATGTTTTTGGACTTATGACTTTCTACACCTCCGCATTCTCTTCGCCGATGATAAAATAAAGGAGACATTGCCTTGCTTTGCTTTACCTTGCGTTAGAAAACAAAAAAAAAAGGAGGCTAGGTTTTTGGCGTTCTGACATGGACCAACTGACGAAAGCGCACTAAGAGAAATTCTTCCTGATCCAAGCTGGATGCATACTGTCTCTGTTTACCGGCTGTAATACCCGCATCCTTATCCCTTTTGTCCGGGTAGGTTTATTTGCCTAGCATTAGTACGATCTGTCATCGTACAGAAAAATTAAGCTTGTTTTCTGTCGGTTTTGGGACAGAAGAGGAACCAAAACAAGAAAAGGTAGATCCGGGTTCATCTGCACTAGAATTTGAAAGATAAAGAGGATTAAGCATCGTAATGGTAATGGGTATGCCAGGTATGGGCAGTTCGGGTTCATCCTTGCGAGAATGTGTGAGAATGGCCCTTGGAGTAATAAAGGGGTTTGTTCGCCTAGACATGCCATTGGATGAGATGACTGCTGAAGTGCCGAGTCAAGGCTATTAAGATGGTCCTAGGATCTGGTATGGATTCTAGTTGTCGATTCTGTGTCGCGTTGTAATGAGCGGAACGGATAGTGGAACAAATGAAAAGAAAAGAATAGAAGAGTGGACATGATCAACCTTTGTGGGAGGAGTAAGGTGAGGAGCTTTACTTTCTTCCTGCCTTCATGCAACATCCCTCTTTTCTTTCTTTCGTTCACAAGTCTTCATGCTTTCAGTCCCTGGACACGCTGAACAAGTACCGCCCTACTACGACCCACTCCCCACTGGCCCATACTCCATTGCTTCTTTTCCGCTCTCTTTTCCTCTCTCTTTTCCTCTCTTTCTCTTTTTCTTTCTCTCTCTCTCGCATTCACCCTTTGTCTCTTACTCGGAACAATCTTGCACCACCAAGTTAAGGGCATTTACATCCGTTAATTCACGTTCATACAATAGTACTAACATCCATTTCGCATCAACAAATCCTGACGCGACTCCATCAAGCATCCACCATGCAATCCTACCACAACGACGCAGGACACCATAATCAAGTCACGCCAAAGCAGCAACATCAGCTCCAGCATATTGACAGTGATTCCAATATGAATGACCCAGGTATTCAGGGGAAACAAGACCACATTTCCAGGAAGGACATGACAACCATTGATATGACAATCTATCCAGAGGACAGGAACGATGGTGCCCAGATACTACCGCACCCTTCAATGCAACCACCAGCAACAACAATAACATCAGCATCCCTACGCCAGCACCAAAGACAACCACCACCGAAGCAACAGCATCCTCCGAATCATTATGGATATGACCTTCAGCAGCAGCAACAAGTTCAAAATGAAACCAAACATCACCACAGCATCCATGGTACTAATACGGGCACGAATACCAGTCCACCAAAGGCCAGGATCAGGCCCATCCCCACCCCACTCTCGGCCGCTCAATTGCAACAACAATGTCATCAACAGCAACAGCAACACCAGCAGCAAAAACAACAGACATCACGGCATCATCCACCACAGCAACCAGTGCAACCGCAACCACAGCAGAGCTCAGAAGATCAGGAACAATTCCAGAAGGTATGCCAGGCGCATTACCGCACCATTGCCAACGCCGACAGTGCCGTCTCCTTGACCGATGAAACAGCATTTGCAGACTCGCTTATTACAGACTCGCCCAGTGTATCGCCCTCCCTCGAACGGTCCAATACCATGGCCTCAGCGCTTCAGCACCTTGTGGGCAATAATAGTGTCCATGGTGGCAGTGGTAGCAATAAAACCCCCACGGTCGGGATACCAGTGGAAGCTGCGCCGTCGCCATTCCAGCACCATCAGTTTCAGATCACAAAAAGCCGATCGGGTTCTGTATCCTCGGGTCACTATGTGGAGATAGGAAGGACGAGCAATGCTTCTCAAGATGTTCCTGTGCCGTCCTTACCGACACACTTGCGAAAGCAACAGCAGCAACAACTTAGTCAATCGCCAGCGAGTAGTGTAGTAGTCAGCGTCCAAAACAACGTGGCTTCACCGACAACGTCGATTGGAGGTGGAAAGGCCGGTTGGGAGCGCGAGGACACCACGCCGACGACACCTACATCTCAAGGTAACAGGAAGGGACCAGCGTCGGAGACACAAACTCCTCAGACGTCTTCATCGCTGTTTGACTTCCTGCGCAATCGCAGGTCTTCGATCTCGAGGAATAACCCTCAGCTCCAGCAGGTCGCCAAGGCAGCGTCGTCCGTTATCGCTGCGGGAGCTATTTCCGCAGTTGCTACTATGACGGCCGGTAATCCGGGAACAGGGAGTAATAATCATGGTGCTATGATGATGGGTACTCCACCATCGATCGCCAAGAGTCGTATGAATACGCCAAGTCCCCTTGGGCCGCCGATCCCGCCGCCGAGCCGGAAACAATCCTTGGACGTCTCTGCATTTCGAGCGAACCAGCAGATAATGGATCCTTCCATGCAAAAGGATGATCGGCAAACTCCCGCCATGCCTGTTCTTCCGACGTCTTATGCGACGAATGCCAACGATACCAGCTTATCCGAGTCGACTTTGGACTCTTCGACTCAGAATGAACAGGGCCCTCGCGAACGTGTCCAGCAAATACAGTATTATTCAATCACAAGCGCTGCTCAATTGACATTTTCGAAAGTTGCTGCTGCGGTCGTGGGCGCGACGGTGGGGAAGCGTCGTCCCTCTGTGCCGAGTGAGCTGGAAGCTGGGATAGGGTACGGTACCAACAAGGGTAGGTCGCTAGGTGGGATGAGACGTCAGTCGATTAGCAGCTATAAGAGCAGCTTGGGTGAGCAATGGTCATTGTCGGGAAGTGGGGCTACGAGATTTGGACAGCAGGCATTAGATCAGCAACAGTTGAATAACCATATGCAGTTCATGAAGTCTGAGGTAAGGGCGGATGAGCTTGCTTTCTTGAAAGTTGTAGTCGTGTTATGTGTGCGTCGGTTTAACATTTGACGCGTGCTTTATTCAAAAAAAAAAAAAAAAAAAATGATAACAACAACAACAATAGAAAGGCGTCTCCGAGCTGAAGGTCTATATCGAGCGGCTTTATCGTACGGTGCTGAATAAGGATGTGATACTCGAGCACTCCAAGAAGAAGATCTCGGCGTTGCAGAAGGAACTTGAGCAGATGCAGTTGCGCATGGATGAAGACAGGAAGACATTCATGGGTAGGGACGCTGAAGGGAACGGGGAAGGGGAAAGGAGGGAGATTATTGGAACGCAGATATTTTTGCCCGGCTTCTATTAACATCATGTTCTCGTCCGCTATGCATGTTTTCTGTGATTAGATGAAGCCGACCGTGACAAGGAGCAGATAGTGACGATGGAAGAGAACTTTTTGCTCTGGCGTACCAAAGTCCATAACGATCAAATGATCCAACAGGAAGAGTTTTTACACGAGCGACTCGTCAAGCAAGATCGGGTATTTTTTTTTTTTTTTTTTTTTTTTTTTTTTTTTCGTGCTGCATCCTTTATCTCGATATCGTAGGTATTATTCACGACTTGTCTTCTCATCCAGAGTTTTTGCTTATCCAAAATTACAGATCGATGAATTAGAGGAGGATCTCAACGATTCACAGGAAGAGGTGATTCGCCTACGGCACCGGCTCCTCGTGCTCGAATACGAAGACGATTACATCGGGCCTTCCTCCTTCATTGCTGCTCACGAGAACGAGAACGCTTCCGACGACTTTGGTGAGGGTGCCGCAACGAAGGATAGTGACCACGGCAACTATAATCGCAACGAACTCAATAACCCCTCCACATCGATCGCAATCGGGTATGGACCCATGACTGTGGCGACGCATAAGCGGAGATCGGGGGATTTTATGATCTTGGAGAAGAAGGCACAGTCATTTGAAATGCAGGTTCAGGAGCTGAAGAAGACCCTGGATACAGAACGAGAAGAGTATCAGAGGAATCTGGCAGATTTCAGGATGCGAATGCATGAGAAGTGTGTGAAACTGGAGCAGGAGGTTCAAGCTGCCAAGGTAACATAAAGAGAAAGAGAGAGAGAGAGAGAGAGAGAGAGAGAGAGAGAAAAGGAACAATTTAGAGAGAGGGAGAAGGAATAACGAGGTATTTCCATGTTTTTGTGGTATGCATGGCTAATACGCTCGTGTTTATGTTGCCCTGGCATCTTTTTTCGTAGATGGAATCGACCATGTATACAGAAATGATGCATGAGGTCGTGACGGAGAATGACGACTTGAGGAAGAAGATCAAGGAGGTGCAACGAAAGATCCGTCACCAGGGATCCATGACTTCTCCTGGGCACGAGCACCGCGGGAGTTCGTCGCGCAATTATTATGGATACGCTGGTGGATTTGGAGATAGTGAAGATGAAATGGAGGAGATCGCAATCTAGAGAAATAAACTTATATCAAAACAACAACAAAAAGAAAAGAGGCCCGAGATGAGTACAGGGACAGGAGGAAAAACCTAATTTTTTTCTCAGGGTCCATTGAGGACGCGTTTTTGGCCAATCAGCGGCCGCGATTTGCATGCGCCCATTGTTACGAGTCTAGGAATGCACTGGACTACAAATATTCGGTCGCTTTTTTCTTTGCTTTTGTGGTTCAAAAAACATCGACTCTTCTCTTTTCTTTTTCGCCTCAATTCCACAGCATCTCCGTTGATTTCTTCCTTTTTTTTTTCTTCCAGCCATGCCGTATTGCGATTCTATGCCGTTATCTTCGACAATCGTGGAGGATACGAGCGAGGATGATGGTAGCAGCAGCCAGCAGGACGACGAGTATGCAAGCAACACGGTGCAGGGACAAGGATTCGGTAATACGCATCTGAGTCTCAGCGAGGGAGATGATGGAGAAGAAAACGACGATCAGGACCAGGACGGCTATGAGGAAGACTATACCACAGATGATCTTGACGAAGACGAGGATGCCGTAGACCTGGTCTACACCGTCGAGGCGCTGCGACAATTAGGTGTTGATTGGTTAGAGCATCCTGAGTACGCGACTCATCGATTGATCGTTTCGCAGGACAACACCTTGGACACGACTAAGCATGCACCGGTAGCAGAGCAGTACTATCATATTATGGCACAGTTTATTATCCCGGCTTCTGCAATCTTTCGGGATGTAATTCTCATGGGAAAAGAAGGTCAGGATCAAGATCAAGACCAGGACATTGGCGACCTAGATGACGACGCTGAGGACGATGATGATGGGTCTCGAGAACGAGAACAGCAGCGATTGTCCTGCTTGCGAATGGTGCCAGAATCCGAGGCGTCAGATATCCACTTCCCGCAGCCGACGCAGGGTCGGCCTCTTCCAGAAGGCATAGCAGCCCTTCCTTTCTTACAGGCCACTGCCACGTCCGGCAGCGAGCACGAGAGCGACGGCAACGTTACCAGGGTCACCCCACTTCCGCTTCTCCATCTGCACATCCCTCACCCCGAACACTTCCCCGAGCTTTTAAAAGCAATCTACGATGGAAACCTGGCACGATGGGAACAAGACACCTTCCGTCCAGAGACCATCGGTCCCATCACTCAGAATGTCGACCGTCTCGAATGTGCAACCGCTCTAACGTTGCGCTGTCTCAAGTACTTTTACAGGGTCCGGTCGACCTTGGCGGAAGAGCAGATTGAGGATGAGTCTATGGATGCGCTAAACGAACTTTTTGAGCGGGCCATGAAAGCCAATCTGCTTGAACCTGTCATCGAAGAGTAGATGGCGTCAAACACGAACGCAAAGGCAAATCTCCTTCAAAGACAAATACTAAGAATAAACAGCGAATATAAACGGTAGAAATGCATGCCCTAATGTGGGTCAGATCGGGTTTTTTTATTACAAGCGCTAGATAAACATGATTTTGATCCAGATCCAAGACCCGAGACCCGAGACCCAAGACCCCGCCGCCGCCAGACTACTCCGCTCTTGCTCGTAACGACAACGACCGACGCAACTTACACCCACAACCTGATGGTTGAATCCCACGATGCCGTAGCGACCAACGAAGTCTCATGCGGATGCCACGCACAATCAATCACGACTTCCGAATGTGCCTTAAACTTCTTGTGGACCTTACACGTCTTCCAGTCCCAGATCCACAGATTACCCTCCGAATCTCCCGAGGACAGGTACCGACCATCGGGCGAGAACGAGGGCTGACACGCGTATCCTGCAACCATATGACCCGTAAATAGCTTCTTACGGTTCTGGCGGAATCGGTCCTTGGCACCGTACACAAAGATCTGGTTATCGAGAGATTGACATGCCAGCCATTTTTCTAGTTGGAACGGTAGGGGCGGTAGATATAGAGGTTAGATCAAAATTTAAAGGATATAACCTCAAGGACCAAAGGACGAAGAAAGATATCCAAGATCAACTTACGATTGGGACTCAAGGCGACGGCAGGCATGGAATGCATGTCGGGTTCTGCGATGTACTTGATGACGACTGGAATGTCATACTCCCAAGCTCTCAACGACTTGTCATCGGACGTGGTCACGAACCGCCTATTGTCGTCCACAAATGTAATCGAGTTGACGGCTCCCAAATGCTGATCGTATTCCTGAATGACCTCACCAGTGTTAATATCGAACTGATAAATCTTGTGATCTGAGCAACCCGCCAGAAAGACGTTCTGCTTGTCCTCGTCCGGATTGAATTTGACAACATAAGGGATCTTCTTGGTGGTAAAGGTCGAGATACATGTCCCTGTTTCAGTATCCCAGAGCTTCATATTGCGGTCGTACGAGGCACTAATGAACCGAGTGCCATCATTATTGAAGGTCACGTCGCGGACAGCCTTAGAATGGCCGATGTATGTACGCAAGACCCGGCGATCATGGTATACATCCCAGATCTATACCAATGAGAGCAAAGAACTCCGTGAGCAATCTGTAGGAAAAAAGGAGTTGGACCTATTACAACCATGATAGATCAGCAGTTTCTGGCCAGACTGTACCTTGACTTTAGAATCCATGCTTCCAGAAAGGAGCAGATGCGCCGACTTTGGAAAAAATCTGATAGCCGAAACAGCCTTGGTATGTCCTGTCCAAGTGTGCAATAACCGCTTCGGAACAAAACACTCCTTTGTGCCTGGCTCGCCCAACAAGTTGACATCAAGATCCATTGGTACATGCATATACGTCCTTCCCATATAATCGTGCTCGTCCTTGCCATGAAATATTGTCTTTTCGGATCCTGTAGCGATCGGTTTCGCAGGCACGGCCTTGCCTCGTTTCTCCTTCTCCTCCTCTGCGGCCTGAACACTCTTCTCGTGCTTTTCCCGCTCTTCTTCTGTAGGACCGCTGATTTCACCGATCCGCTCGCCTTCGTAGGCGGCCCAGGGACCTCTGTAGGCGTTCTCACCCTCCAGTAGTGAGGGGTCGCCGCGGGTCTGGCGTTTGCGTTGGTTAACGTTGTTCCTAAGGTGTTTTGGTACCTTGTCCCATATCGTTGCACCTATCAATGCATCCAGAACAAATACGTCGCCAATGTCAGAATCTGATCTCCGAGATCTCCGTTCTCCTCATACATACCAAAGAAAAAAAAGCGCGTGACCACAAAGGCCGGATCTTACCATCCATGACCTGTGCTTTTTCAACATTTCCAACAAATCCTGTTCCATTGATGCCAGCTCCACTCTGTCCGTTATTGGCAACGGTCAGAATACTGGGATCCTTTGCAAATCCAAAAGCAGCATAGGATTGTTGTTGGGTTCGAAAGTCGTAGTCCGAAAGCATATTTTCCTCCACATGTCCCGTCCAGACATTCCGGCGGACTTGAACGTCGTTGGATGCGAATGGGTTCTGTGGACCTTGAACGGGTTGGAGCATGGATTCGTAGGGCAAGTTGACGGCGAGGGTTGTATCTGTGGGGTTGGTATAGATATGGCGCGAGTAATTTGGATCCTATGTTGCGCGTACCAAAGAAAAGTATATCCGCGTTAGAGAGAGGAGCCATAACTTTGCATGGTTAGAGACATGAGGTTGTGCAGGGATGGCAATGTTGGTGGTGCCAAATCGGTCCAGACTGCGTTCGTTACCTCCAGGCTGACATCGGGCGCGACATTGACGATCTTTGCGACCTTGGACGCGGGTTGCTGTGACGAGGACTCACCCTCACTGTCGGATGAACTGGAACCGTAGCCGTGTGCAATCAAGTCCATCCTGATGTACGTTTGATATGATACCGAGTGAAGAGTGTGTCGAGGAGTTTGGTTGGAGAGAGGGGGATGCCTCTTTTGCTGATCACCTTTGGAGAGGGAATGAGCAAAGTGCAAGCCACTGCATAGGAAGTCCATGTTCGTCCCTGGAATTGAATCCCCAGCTGAATGGTGAGTAGATGCCGATCGCACTGCAATTGGGGGATCCAACGGCCGATTTAAGGTCCAATAAAGTTTTTTTCCGCTTCCCCTTCTCTTCTCATTGCTCCCAGCTCCTCAGACCTTAACACCTTCCTCTCCTCTCATTCGCCTTCTCTCTTTCGCCATGGCCATCCCAACTGATCTCGACACCTTTGACATCAAGCTGCTCGACCACGGCGTTGCAGTTATTGCCTTCAACCGTCCCAAAAAGTACAATGCCCTGAACCCTCAGGTCTACGACCAGTGGGGTAGGGCCTTGGAGTGGGCCCGCAAATCCGAGGATGTCCGTGTCGTTGTCTTGACTGGCAATGGCAAGTATTATTCCTCGGGTCAGGAGCTCGCTATCCCCAGCTCCGATGAGCTTGAGGAGGCAGGTGGAGCCGACAACGTCTTCAAGAAGCGATCTGTATTTACTATGTAATGGACCGTGATATACCTTCTTCATACGTTGTTTCTCAGCTGCCCCGGTTGTCCTTCAGTTACTCTGCGGAGTTCAATGGCGACCTCAGTTGTTTAGTGCTCGCTTTCGCTTCAATTGCTTTACATGCGATGCGGGGTAAAGAACACAGATGATCACTAACCGAGACGAAAAAACTGGGGGGGTTTTATTTTTATTTTTTTATTTTAGGAAAGTGGTCAGAGAGTTGGTTCACTTTCCCAAGTTGATTATCGCTGCTATCAATGGTAATAATGTCGAGTACTGGACATTCATTTCGAAAAGCAAGGAACTGGACGTCTTATTTTCTGTTCCAGGAATAAGGAATACAGGAATGCGGGTCAACAAACCAGCCGACCGGCCGATCATCCCCCTGTTTTATGCACCGAACACAAAATAATCTGACCCAGCCGAAGAAAGTACAAATTAATGCTCCGGTCATCCGGCATCTTCAACAGCCTTCGACCGATCCACATCCCCCTTGCTAGGAATGTAATACAAGGAACACTCACGGTTGGTTTTACGGATTAATTATTCACATAGGCCCGGTGATCGGATTCGGTGTTACCTCAACTGCCCTTTGCGACGTCGTTTACTCTGTGCCGGATGCTACCTTCAACACACCTTTCATGCAGCTCGGCTTCTGCGCTGAGGCATGCTCCTCAGTTGTCTTTCCACGGTATGCAGAGTTGGTCATTGAACACTATCGTTTAACGATGGAGTCGATCTGTCATAACGGGGTCGACATTGAATCTGATCTGTCTCTTATTTATTGTTACTATAGCGTCATGGGCTACTCTCGCGCCAACGAGATGCTTGTAAGTCAAACTCAGGAAGTCACTTTATACGTGATCGGCAGGACCTCTATCGAGTACTGTACTTACGTTGTTTCCTTCAAATAATAATAGCTAATGGGTCGCAAGTTCACGGCAGAGGAGATGAAGGAGGCTGGTGTCGTGGCGAGAATCTTCCCCAAGGAGACGTTCATGGAGGAGGTTCTGAAGCTGGCCACAGCCTCTGCAAAGTTCCCTCCGAATGCCATGAAAGAGACTAAGGCTCTGATCCGCGATCCCGACTTTGATTTTCTGGACAAGGTCGCTGAACGTGAGATGGAGCTCTTGGGTAAAAGAATGAGCTCGGACGAATCTGCACAGGCCATTATGGAGTTCATGAGTAAGTGTCTTGAACAAGAAGCGGTGTCTTTCGTTTTCTTCTGTAGCGAATCTGATAAACTAATACGTTCAATTGCCTACTTGAACTGTAGTGGCGAAGCACGATCGCAAGCAGAGCAAGTTGTAGAGAGCACTATAGAAGATATGCTGCCCGCGAGTAATAAAAGAGGCGCGCCTGTAAAATCAAAGCTAGACCGTGGAAAGAGTGATCGTTCTTTGCCTCGGTGGAACTCCGACCAGAAGGAAGAATGCTCTGTTTCTTGTGGATACATCTCGGCATTGTTCCTGCACGTCATCTGAACGGACTCCGAAAGGATTCTGTAGATCAAAGGGGAAGAAAACTTTTTTCGCTTCTTTCTTTCTTTCTCGTCTTCCCTCTCAGTCCCTGCCTTTGCTTCATCCACCTCTCTCTCTTTATTACACCTTGTCCATCCATTGCTACCCTTATATGCATCCATGCATCCGTTTTTGCTAGGCTTCGGAATGGCATTGGACTCCAGGATATGTACGACAACTGAATTCTTCCGACCAACTTGGTATGTATCTGCTCTGATCCATCTTCCTCGCAGCCTCTGTTATGTTTTTGGGCTGTCAATTGGTAGCTGAAGTTCGGACATGTTATGATGATAACTTTATTGCTATTAACCCAGCTCGTCTAAGGACAAAATACGTTCCTCATGAGATGAAGTTAATGCTGACACTTGTCCGAACCTCAGCACCATTGACAATGCAATTATACGACCTCCATTGCTCAGTTGATATTGGAAAAAAGAGAATTGAACCTGATCGACTGACCTTTGTTCATGTTTATTTTCTCAGACAATCTTAGGACGTTTGAGGATGTTTATTGTCAGCAACTGCATGACGAGTACTGGCTGTGAAGTTGGGGCGTGGTAAGTAGCTAATGTCTTGGGGGTGAGTAAGAACAGAGCCCGTAGCTTCGTCAGAGTAGATGTCTATAACTATGTACATAGCAACGATGCATGAAAATAAACCAATTGGATTTGTATAACAACAGTAGACTATGTGAAGTGGGTGGTGGCGAAGGCCAGGCGTGATAAAAATACATCATCAGTAAGATCTTGTTTTTCTTGACCAAATCAAGTCTGGCGTCTTTTTTTTTTTTTTTTTTTCTTGATCAACTCCATCACTCCACTCCACTCCACTCCACTCCACTCCACTCTACTCCACTCTACTCCACTCCACTCCACTCTGCTCCACTCTGCTCTGCTCCACTCTACTTCATCTTGATTCGAATCGATCGCTACCATACTTTCTCCTACATAACACATTTCATCTTTCAATTTTCTCCCCGAGTGCACGCCCCTCTGCCATACCAGCGACTCTTTTTTTCTTTTTTTCTGCCGCGGGTTAACACCGATCGTTTTCCATCTTTTCCTCTTTCGCTCTCCACAATCAACAATCAACAATGTTGGGAAGGAATGCCACTCGTCCCTTTGGCATGTCTCCCTCGCGACTCGTCGCCATCTACAGCACCACGGCATCGCACCGGATAGCGCACTGGATCACAAAGCCCTTCGCCATGGTCCACATGCAGCGCTACCTCTCCGTCACCCCTCAACTTCTCCTGACAACACCGCCGAATTCCACCAACGGATCAATAGATCTCTCCGCCTCGCCTTCTGTTGCTGGCGTCCACACCTCTGCAGCTTCATTGCAACAGCAGCAAATACAGCAGCAGCAGCAAGACCCCTTGTCGGAAAAGCTATCCATAGCCTCGTCAGCCTCTATTCCTGCTACCGCTGCCAACAGCACCAATAGTGCCACCAATTCTTCCCCTACAGCATCGCCCACTGCTATTGCGAATAACCCTACCGCAACTCCCGCAAGCTCTACCACAGCAACAGCATCGGCAGCAGTACCAGCCCCAGGCTCTACAGTGGCGTTCAATTACCTCTTAGCGGCATCATGGCATCCAAAGTCCAGGAATACAAAGCGAACAGCTGCTTCTTTATCGGCAAATTCGCCATCATCTTCGTCAGGATCCGATGACGAGGACGAGAGCAAGACCAAGTGGTGGAAGCAAAAATTGAGAGCTGGCAAGGTCGATGCAGGCGAGGATGCTTTTTTCCATGTCTCCACCCCAAGTCGAGTCGCATTGGGAGTCGCAGATGGAGTCGGAGGATGGTCGGAGGTAAGCGGCGCAGATGCTCTCTTTTTCCCTTTTCTCTTGCTATGTGATCGCCTGCGGGTTTCGGATTTCGGATTTCGGAGCAATGCATGAGCCGACATGCCGCCTACAGGAAGGATTGCCGACATGCGACGAGCATCACATCATGGGATGAACATTGGTTGTAATATCTGGACTTTGGTGTCGTCCAACCCTTATGTTTCACAGTCGTTGGCCAATTTTTGCTAGACATCTGGCCTGTCCACAATGACTTCATTGCCTTCACAATTATTGGTGTAGCATCGTTGGAGATAGACACTTGCTGAAGCGTCTTAGCGCGAATTTTTCATTGTACATGTTCTCATCTCTGTGTTCTGTCAGCCACATAGTTAATTCGCTAACATATCGATTTTCATTTCTGACGGTGTTAGGTCGGTGTTGATCCAGCTCTGTTCTCCTGGGCCCTAATGGACAACGCTGAGGCTGTGGCCCGTCTGACTGATGTTGATCACTCGGACTCCAAGGACGACACCAATGGACAAAGGAGTAGAAAGATACCTCTGGATGCCCAGTCGATCCTTGACGGTGCATATAGTGAGCTGGTCCAGAGCGGGAAGGTTGAAGCAGGTACGGAATTTTCTAGCTTGTTTCAACTTTGTGCCCATATGACCATTCTGGAGAACACGAACTGTAAATGTCAATTGCTTACGCCGTTTTGCTATTCATGCACAGGATCAAGTACCGCCTGCATTCTTTCGCTATGCAAGATGACTGGAACACTACGCGCATCTAATCTAGGAGACAGTGCGTATCTGTTAATCCGTGACAACAAGTGTATTTACGAGTCTCCCTCGCAGCAGCATTTCTGGAACTGCCCTTATCAGCTCACGGTGCTGCCACCGGGGTACCCGGGAGCGAAGCAGCATGTTATGGATATGCCTAAGGATGCCGCCCAAACGAGGCACCAGCTACAGGATGGCGACGTGATTGTGTTGGCAACAGACGGATTCTGGGACAATGTGTTTACGAAGGAAGCGATTGAGCTGGTCGACAAAGAGCTGGGCGATATTATCAAGCTGCCAACAGCGAATGGGGTTTCGGATGCAGATATTGTTGGGAGGGTGCGGGCACTCTCCCAACGGCTGACGAATACTGCGAGACGCTTTTCGCTGGATCAGAAGAAGCGGACGCCATTCAGTCAGGGTGCTAGGCACATACGATCTGGAGGGTAAGTTCTCTACTTTGGGTTTGTTATTCGGGGGGAATGCGTCCAATGGCCATATTTTTATAACTGACATTTTTTTTTCATTTTTTTTTTCATCCCCATATAGAAAAATCGACGATATCACGGTGATCGTGACCCTGGTCCGTGTCCTTGCCAGCCAGGAACATGCCTAGTCCTTGTATCCAATCTAGATAATACATACTGCAGTCCAATCACTTAGATTATGTTTCCATGTAAAATACCAATATTATGAGAGTATAGAACAATTCTTGTTCGTAAATAGTCAGGATTTGTCCGCTTTGTGGGCACTGGCTTGTTAGTCGCCGATGTTCGCTGTCTTCCTTTTCTCGCGGCTTTTTTTGCTGATTACATTCTCGGTGGACCACCTCAAGTGTGGATCTGCTATTTTGTACAAGTAAATAGTCGGCCGTATTCGAGGCATACTCAGTAGTTTTCCCTCTCTTTTTACTGTCGATTCAGTTTACCTTTCTCACGCCACACAGCCAAATCCCTCACGGTGCAAGATTATTTGGGTGTGCCCTTTTCAACCCCCACCCTTATTCTCTCGATACTACGCAACATTTGTCCATGTGTCTCTTCCAAAAACCAAGTCGAGGGAGACCTTGATGGGGGTGATTGCTCATGATGGACGGGAAGAGGAAGAAGAAGAAAAGGAGGAGAAGGAGAAGGATGATGATGATTCGGGGCGCAAGGGCTCAGACCATCTACTATTCTATACTGTGCTGCTCCACCACCTCTACATAGGCGGCCCCATCAATACGACGAGCGCAGTCGGCAAGCGCGCCCAGCAGTTTGTCGATCGAGTAGCGGACCTTGGGCCGCTGCAGAGAAGGAATAATAGAGCTGCAATCGTGGCCAAGCAACTATACCTTACTACGCCTTTTGCTCCGCTCTGTTGCAGTTGTTGAGTGAGCTAAAAAAAAAAAAAAAGAAAATACGCTGCACTGAAGGGAAAATTTCAGGAGTTAATGTTGATAGACTTTGAGAACAAGAACACCATTCCCGCCCAGGGTGATCTAATCGATTGGCTTGGGGAAAAGGCTCCTGGGTTCCTTATCACAGAGATGCTTTCGAACGTCGGCAGGTGTGGGCCGTGCAAAGGATCGAGTGGTTTCAAGGATTCAACGCTCGTGATGGACCTGAGCATGATGCGAGAACATGTTCAATTCATTCAGCAGGCCAACTTCGATCCTATGACTTACGAGGGTTGCGATTATGCTCTACGCGGCTCCCTTCAAATAGACGGGTTTTATCTTCGTCTTCGTCTGCTAGCTTTCAAGTAGAAAGAGCTTCAGTCGGTTAGATGTAGGCGCCTTTCGCAGGACGTCTTGCCTCACCGAATTACATCCACCATCGGAGGCACGGACTATTACTCGACCAAGATTCGAAACGTTGTGGAGACCAGGCAGGATGTCGAAGATCTTTAGGGTTGTGAGCCGGAACAGATCAAGGCCCTGGGTCTCGACCTCGACCAGGCGTGTACTCAGAGCAGTCGCGCTACTCCCCAAGAACAGTCGCGATAAAGGGGCCCGCGATATCACAGTGAGGAAGCAAGGTGACTCTGATACTGACGTCGATATGGAGGACTTTTGCGAAAGTCCAACACCAGCCCCCGCTCCAACGCTAGGCTCTGCTCCCGCCACATATTACAATATGGCTGTGAAGCAGAAAGCCGTTTACCAGCCAACCTTCAAGCACCGACGCTGGATGGAAGAGCGGAAGAGCAGAAAAGGATCGCCCCAGGCGATGAAATAGATACCACCAGCGACTCCTGGACCAAGCTGCCACCACAGTGCAGTGAAGGAGCCGGACAGGTTGAGAGCCGCAGATTATATTGCTCGAACTACAAGACACTCATGCATTGCGATATCAGGGCTGGCCACAACTTATGCAATGCCATTCGTAGCCATTTACTCCACCAAGAGCGACCATTGTATCTCCAGCCAGTGGATGAAAAGG